TGCTGCACACCATCCTCCCCAGTTGCCAATTAAAAAAGAAAGTGTGGGACAATAAACACCAACACGTTAGTGCGATTATATCTAATGTAATTAAAGGTGGTTTTTATTTTCCTCATTTTGCTTATCAGTGTGTTCTAGTATTCTTACAATAAACACATTTATTTATATATTCCTAAAAGATTCATAAAAAACAAGACCTGGCTTTTTTTAGCCCCTACCACCTCAAGTGTACCAAGCGAGGCTACTCCACCTTTCTGCATGGGCACATGGTTTATTTGTGTTTGGAAGAGGGTGAGTGTTTCTCTCCCTGGGACCAGAGCTGCTCACTGAGCTTCTTGTCAAGCCCTTGCCTGTGGAAAGGCTTCTAGGTGGCCTGTGGCTCCTCCTCGTCCTGCCCAGTCAGGACGGCACAGGATTCTGACGGAGGACAGTGAATTGAGGACGAAAATACAGAAAAAGGCAGAAGCAAAATGTGGAGAAGGAGCTGGTGGTAGGTATTGGTTTTTCATAGACATCTGAGCAGATTTTTCAAAATATTTGTGGTTTCATTCTGTCCTGTATGGGCATGTGGCTCTTGAGTTGAGAATTAGCTTTTTCCCGTGGCATTATCAAATGGTAGGGAGTGTGGCTTATGTGAAAGTGAGTGACGCAGGGGAAGAGAAATGAGTGGCCACAGTGGGGTAAGTGGGCCACTGGGGTGGCAACGAGTCCTTAAGGGGACTGGCCTGCTCCATCTGGATGCTGCTCACACCTGACAGGTGGCAGACATTTATTTACATGTGGACGGACACAGCTTGCAGGCCCATCTAAACTCAGATGCAAAGTAGGGCCCGCAGCCAGAGACGAGGAGCTCAGCAGTTCATTAGAGGACAAAGTAACTTCATGTTCAGGTTACAGTGGTGGAAGTGAAACTGCAGGGTGGGGTGCACTGGCCAAAGTGAGAAATACAAACACTCCTTATGCCGGGATATTTGGCCACCAGCAAGATGGAGTCACAGGCGCCAGAGAGAAGCAGAGTTACCCATAGACAGAAGCCTCTGGGACCAACCAGGTAGACCCTTGACTTGGAGATTCTGCAAGTGGCAGCATACACAAGAGTACTCTGTCAGATGCGGGGCAACAGTGTCCCTGTCAACTTTGTTTGGTGTCTTCCAGGGGACACAAGATGCAATGCCAAGGTCAGGATTGAGACAGAGACAAAGTCTTCATGAACTACAACTCACAACAAAATAAACACCATCTCCCGTTTGAGAGGAAGTTGATTACCAGGATAGTCACAATAAGAAAATGAGGCTGATTAACTTCAGAGATCTCTGGATGTATTTGGTTGAATTTGGGGCTGCAAGGCTGCGACGACAGAATTAAATGTCATAATGTATGCAATCACCTCCCGCAGGAATTGCGACATTCATGGCTGTGGACATGGTCCCAAGTCACCACCATCATCCTCATGTGGGAGCAGTTACAGTAGTAATTTCAATTGTTACTATAATCATCTTGAACAACATGATATGTCTTGGTTGAGTGGGGCTTGACCTAGAAATTTCATGTCTAGGGTAAGAGATACATTCTTTTGGAAGTGCTAATGTTTGTTGGAGCAGAGCTGGCTGGTGGGAATCTCGATGTTGTGTCTGTAGACGCTCTCTGCCCAGAAGACTCTCTACAATTTAATTCATCAATTCCTAGAATTCTGATGGCCTCTCCATAGTCCAGACAGCATGGCAGGGAATTTGGACCAAGAATGCCTGGAAACTTTTGTCCATTTCCTCCCCGGCAGATGTGAAGATGAAGAAGCTCCAGAGACCCAGTTTCTCTGAGAATTATCCATATATCTACTCCAGGAAATCTGAGAAGGACAGGAGTAAGTTTAGTTTCAGGTAATGATTGTTTTAGGAGACTGGAGTTTTACAGATCTCAAATTTTTCTTCTTCATGAGGAAGATCATTTTCTTCAGTGTCAGTAGAAATTATTATTAACCCCTTTTGAAGAAGGTGTTGCCATTCCCGTGGTGGGGGATAGAGGTGAGCCCAGTCTTGAAGTCTGAGGTGGGGAGGGGCACAGGGAGACTTAGTGAGGCTCTGGGTAGATATCTGAGCAGCATCCGCAATAGGGAGCAGACCTCCCTCGGTCTGTGAAAATACCTCCTGCCAAGTGGCCTGGCTTCCCTGGGGGTGATAGGCATGGTGGGGCCTCCCCCGGTATCAAAGACAATTCAGTGTGAAGCTTTCTATTTTCTGTTCTAATTATATATGTGTGAGCTGGGTGGAGGGGACCCTTGGGGCATTGAGAACACTGACCCTTAGCAGAGCCACCCAAAGCGGCTTCCTTGGGTATCTTTCCAGCAGTAGAATATCGGCTGTTGGTGGTAGAAGACCAAGAACCAAGATCCAGATTGTACTTCTGGTTTTTGGTTTTGATTTCCCTTTAAGGGATTTGCTCATTCTTCTAACCTACTCTGCTAACGACTGCTTCCTAGTTCAGGAGGTGGTAATTCACCAGTCAGAGGAAGGGTGCATTCATTCACTCAGGGATGGATAAATATTACATAATTTTTTTTTTAAGATTTTATTTATTTGCGAGAGAGACAATGAGAGACAGAGAGCATGAGAGGGAGGAGGGTCAGAGGGAGAAGCAGACTCCCTGCTGAGCAGGGAGCCTGATGTGGGACTCGACCCCGGGACTCCAGGATCATGACCTGAGCCAAAGGCAGTCGCTTAACCAACTGAGCCACCCAGGCGCCCCATAATTTTTTAAATGCATAATTAAACAGGTAAAAAAGAAGGGAAATTTCCTCCATTACAGATTAAAAAAAAGGAAGTGAAAACAGTGTGTTACACATGTAAATTGACATTACTGGTGCCCTGGGGAGAAAATATTACACTAGATAATTTTTATGAGCTTAGCATTTAGTCCATCTGGAACTTGGAGGCAAAACCCTGGGTCTGCAAAAGGTAGAAGGTTGAAACCAAAACACATGAAATCTGGATCATCAAAAGACTTTCCTTTTAATAAAAGAGTGGCTTGGTGGGGAAAAACATTCACCTACCAGCACAGAAATGACAACTAACCTTGTCTTTCTATGAGCTCTGGGGGAAATAGAGAGTTTCCCTTGAGATATCAGAACTCCAGGACTGTGCCACTCCCATGGGTGGGCTCCAGGAAACCCCAGATAAGGAATTGTCATAAAAAGTGGTCCTGGGCCAGTGATGCCCCCAGGACTTAGAAGGAGCAGGTACAAAATGGCTTTTGAGGGACACAGTCAGAAACACAGATCACATGAACCTCACCATGCACAGGACGGGTCTCCATCAATAGTCAAAACACCCAGCAAATCATGATGAACAAGATTCAAAATATGTCAGAAATGCAGGCTTAAATACCTAAAACTTCAGGCAGAAGAACTACGTAAGAATTACAATAAATTAAATGTATTTAAACTATTTTAAGGTTGTTAAAATAATAAAAGGAAGTATTATACCCATAACAGTAGAATGCTATAAATAACAAAAAGGGAAATTTGAAAAGAAATAATAATAATACTTTTTTGAGCATTTAATGTGTGCCATGTACACCTTGGAGCATTTTATTTTTTTTCAGATGTTCTAAATTTTTTTAAATTTTATTTACATTCAATTAATTAGCATATAGTGTATTATTAGTTTCAGAGGTAGCGTTCAGTGATTCATCAGTTGACCTTGAAACATTTGAAAGAAATGATTTTACATAATGAACAAGACAGCATACATAATATAGTAGATACAATTTTTATCCCAGTTTTAAGCATGAAGAAATACACAGAGGTTAACCAATTTGATCAAAACTGCAGATCTAGTAAATGGTGGAAAACACGTGTAAATCCAGAAAAAAGTTTGAGCTTCTGGTCGCCTGGGGCTCCTACTTCATTCCTGGAGTCCCCATGAGGTCCAAATATTTCACAGTGGCAGATAAAATACAAAATATAAAAATCTACAATTGTCCTAAGAAAGAAAAAGGTAAACAGTCCCATGGGCCAGAAACAGAAACGCAAGGGAGAAATGCAGCTGAGGTGAGAGCCAGTGAGGGTGCTGGAGGAAAAGAGAGGGTACAGAGCTCCTGAGCTGGGACGCCCAGGGTGTGCGGGAAGAACACTGGGGACAATGAGGTTGGAGCCCATCCAGAGATGGGAAAAGTCATCCTCGACAGAAGTTCGAACAGTATTAGTGTTAAGCAGAACTATTAAAACAGGAAGTTTTTATTTGCATGAGATAAGGTAGCATGGGAAATAAAAGAAAAAAGAACAGACCACTGAATAAATAATAGCAGATGATTTATATTTATTTGAAAAAAATACTTCAATCTCTATCTCACATTTTTTATTTCAAAAAGTAAAGTCATAATATAAATATAATATAAAACTCCAAAACAGGAGAAGTCAGATTCTTACCTTGCACCAAACATACATATGATATCCTGAGTGAATATATATCAAAATTATGAAAGCATTATAAGAACATATAAGAACATTTTTAGAACATAATCACATGGAAGGGGATGTGAGGGATGTTTCTGGAAAGATGGAGAAATTTTATATCCTGACAAGAGTTTGGGTTACTTGGGTGTGTGTATTTATCAGACTGATGGAACTGAGCACCTAAATTGTGTGCACCTCACTGTACATAAATTATAAATAGTTCCTACAAAAGCTATAAGAAGAAGGCAAATGAACACTGAGAAAATGCGCAAAGGGCCAGCACAGGAAACTGGGAAGAACTACAAATGTACAGTCAATTTATGGGAAAAATGCTCAACTGCTTTAGTCATTGTAAAATTTTTAATTGAAATAACAATGATACTTTTCTCTCACAGACTGATTCTCTCGTGTGTTGTTGGTGAATGTGTTCACTGATACAGCAGAGCAGTTTGAGAGTATTTAACAAAAATATAAAATGTGCACAACCTGAAATGCCCTAGTCCCTGATTTACAAATTTATCCTTCAGATGGATTAGCAGGAACACAGAAATACGTTTGTGCAAGAACATTTATTTTAGTATTGTTTTTGTAATATAAAGTTTTTGGAAACCACCTAATGTCCATCAGCAATTGAAAAGATTAAAATATATTACGATAGTATTTCATTAACAATGTTGTTTTTAAACAATGGATACCACTCGTGGTGTTAGATACAGGGAAGGCTCTAACATTTTACATTATATATTTCTAAATTGTTTTAATTTGTAAGAGTTGGTGTATAATTGTTTTAAATTAAAACATAGACTCCAAATTGTATTGCCACATTTTTTAAAGTTCATGCATAAAAGAAGAAAAATTATATTCGTAAAGCTTCTAGAGGTGCAACAAATACAGAACTTTGGGTGTCGTGAAACTTACAAAGATTGTATCTCGTTACAAATATGGGGGCATCTAGGTTAGTTTGTGCATACAAAATATGTCACTAAGATTGAATGTACCCACAGTAACTTTACAAAACTTTGTTTGAATTCTAATTTGGGAGCAGTGACCCCAAATGCACAGAGTCACATATTTTATGCAGAAACAGGATGAGTCATGTAAGTGTCGGGGCTGGAGTTCTGTTCTGGAGTTCAGTGCCGAGCTTGTCTGCACTTGGACAAGAGGATGGGCACCCATCTCTGTGCGCAGCTGCCCCGCAGAATCGCTAACCTCGTGTCCATGCACTCTGAGTGAGCTTCACTGTCCCTCCACCCCAAGGTCACCCACCCTGTTTCCTCTTAGAGAAAGAAGCTAGAGCACAATTTGACCTGTGCCTAAAACAACCAGTAGGAGTCGGGTCCCACCCCTGCATTCATTGTGGTTCTTTGGGTGGTTTCTTCAGGGCTAGAACCACCTGTTTCACGGTAGTTGCAGGAATAGTCTCTGGGGGGAAGCACCTGGATGAGAAGTCCTGGAAAGCAGACTACCTCAGGATCTCTGAAGAACATACTGGTTCTGAGGCTTGGGGTCATGGATGGTTTCCAAAGAGCAGAATCTTCCAGAATTTTACATAGCGTCTTCATAGTCCACATCTGCAACGCTTGCCTTCTTCAGCCTAAAATAGATGGCTGAGGCATCCTAAAAGTAAAGGCACATGGATAGGACCAGAGCAGGGAAGACACGTGGAACATGCCTCCCCCTGGTTCTCCTCCCCAACCAGCCTGGATGTGTCCTATCACGGCACACCATGAAGCACAGAAGGTGGAGCCTCTTGGAAGACTGACCCTAGGTGAGCATTTTCAAAGGACCTGTGTCTTTCTGGTGGGCTGCAGAGGTGCTCCTGATGAGCCGTAAGCTTATCCAAATGTGCAAACTCCCATTCTAATGGGCCACTGTTAGGCAGTTCCATGAGCTGTTGTTTTTTTTAAGGATGTCAGGATTTTGTACTCATAAACTACATTTAGCATGTCACTGGAGTTTACCAAGGACACAAATTCTGTCCTGAGACCTCTGGCTACCCCCACCACACTAGACAAACTTACAAAGCACCTACTGTCCTTGTACACATGTGGAGTTAGAATTCCTGTAATTTTCTGAAAGTATTTTTGTATTACCAGTGATATCTTGAATTGTTCAAGGTTTATAAATTACTGAGTTGACACAAATCACTATTAGTTTAGTTTTGTTCAATATTAATTGAGTTTTCCACGGATTGTGTGGTTAACCTCACAACACAAAGTGGTGTGTGTGTGGTTCAACAGTATTTCAGGGTAAAGATTTTCAAGGAATAGAATTTTTAGACTAGCCATGTGCTACAGTGTATCTACAAATCATCCATGCGTCTGTTGCTAAAGGAAACGTCTGTGCAAGTCTCCAAAATTCCCTTGCACCGTGAGGCTTTACTATGACCAAATGTTTTTCCCACTGTGTGGGGGATAAGGGGAGAGATGGACCATTGGAACCTTTTGCTTTTCCTAAGTTGCCATAGTTTTAAAAGTTTGAGAACCAGTCCCTAGAAGAAAGAAAGAAGAGCAGGGATGAAAGTCCATTAGGGCTTCTAACTCACCTGGTCCGTGGTATGTGTCCTCTGGGGTTCTACTGTGGAATAAAAGGTGTGTGCTGTAAGATTTCACTTATATTTAAAGTCCTTCACTAAAGTCGTGCTAATAAAGGCTTCTTCTCCTCCTACCTACTTTCTGTGTATTGATTTCCATCAATATTTTTAGTCTTGCTTTTCTGCTTATCACAAACACGATTTCCTTACTGTACAGAGGACGATGGGCAGCCTAGAGGTGGACAGGTAAGTAGATCCCTTTGGGCATTTAAACTCTTCGCATTTCTGGACCCACAAGGTATGAATGGGACAACAGCAACAAGTGGGGCCACTCAAGGAGGGCAGGTGGACACCGCCATCCCAATCTGCCATCTGACTGGGGGCACTGAGCTAGCACCAGCACTCGGGGCTGCTCCCAGACCCAAGGCCAGTGCTCAGGGAGGTAGGGAAAAGCCCACAGCCAGCTCAAGGCAGAGCAGCAGTGCTGAAGAACACTTCCATATGCCATTTGCGGCCACTGAGTATCCTCTTGGTTCCATGAAAGAAAAAAGTCAGAGATACATTCACTCCCTCATTTCTCACCTGCTGCTTGCCGCTCCTGTTGCGTATGGTACACCAAAGAGTAGACCTCTTCCCCGCTTACGACGTTCACTGAAAGAGAAGAAAGGAGGCCTGGTGACACCATCCTTTCTTCCTGCCAATTACCTCACTCCATGCCTACCACTTATCACCACGAAGACAGACATGCCATTTGTCCATGGAGGTGGCTGGGGCACAGCAGGCACAGGGTGGGCTAGCAGACATCAACCCACTGCCCCTTCCCCGGCTCCCTCCGGCTGCTTGGGCCAGGTCATTTGGGAAACCTCACCATTTTCGTATACAGACTGTTCCTGCAGTGGGGCAGCTGAGTTGACGTAGTTGGACACCTGTGCCATGGGGCTGGGAGGGCTCCTGCAGACACAGATAGTGGAATAGCATCCCAGATGCCCCAGACATCACTGTCCAGGGTTGTGAGCAAGACATTGAAGGAGAGAATCCTGTTAGCAAGCGTCCTGAGCAGAATACTGACTTCTGGGGAGATCCTCAGTGAGCTCCACTGTGTGGGACAAACTCTGTACGTGGGCTGAGCAAGGCACAGCAGAGCAGCTGTGGAGTGCACAGCCCATGAGCGCAGGTCCTTACCTGATGGGCTCAGTGTGGTGTTGCCCACACCTAGAATAGTGCCCCTCCCATTCAGGTGCTCAGTGAATACTGAGTGAAGAGTATTGATTCCCCTCGATGGAGAACAGGTTACCAGGCAGAACAAGCAGCTTGAAGAAGGGAGAGAAGAACGTGAACTTGCACACAACGGCCTGGGGCCCCAGCGCAGTGAGGCGGTGCCACTCAGCGTCACAGGTACAGCTCAGGCTATTGAATTGTCTTGGTCGAAGTCCCTTTCCAGCATCCTGGAAGACCACTACTCCAATTTGGGAAAATAATCTGATTTTTGTCGGCATAAACAACAACACAGTATAAAAATATGTCGACTAAACATTGATGTCCCCAGATGCAAGTGTTTTAAAAATCTTTTCCTCCTCTAAACTAAAGAACTTCACCAGCAAGTTTTCGGGATGGTTATCACTCTCTAGCCTGAATGACAGAAATGTGCATGTATCTTTAATGCCTCTGAGATACTTTCAAGATCTCAGAATCCTGTTTTCCTGCCTCATCAGAATGACTCACAGACCCTCAGATATTGATTAATTGATTGAATGAATCAGTTCATTGGTGAATGTGTGAAATGGGTCAGTTTAGTGAGGGAGGTGAATTAGGAAGAATGATGGAAGAAGGATTTGAATTAATCAGTTAATGCATAAATGAAGAGGAATAGCAAACAGACACTGTTATTAGCGGGAGAACTCCGGAGTAGAAGTTGGGATAATACATATACAACAAGCACATGAGAGAGGACAACTTAAAACTGTGCAGATGGGTTTTTCTGCATTATCAGTGCACACAGACAGAGCAGAGCCTCACCTGCACGGGTCCCTGGCCGGACGTCTTCCTATAAGTCAAGCAGATGAGCAAACACGTCAAAGGGGGAATCTGTTCTTCAGTTTTCTTGTGCGGGGACTGCTCCTCAGGCCTGCCACGGCATGCCAGAGGGCATCCTGGCCATCACTTACTCAGATCCTTCACTTTGCAGGTGAAGAGACTCAGTGCGGAGTAGTTAGTGAGCTTCCCAGGCAGTTCATCCCAGAGTGAGGCCCTGAGCCCCAGCCTCTGAACCTGAACACCTATTGTAGTTTTTGCTTTGGGTTTTGACAACACACTACCTACTTTTGTCATGACAAGAACCCTCAGAAGCAGGCACTTTACAGCTAGGGTGAGGTGCCCCAAGATGCAGGACAAGCTTGGAATTTAAATGAGAATCTCGCATTGTCTCCATCTTGCTCAGTGGAGAACAGGAGTCCAAGATTAATTGCACCAATAAATATGAAATTACCAACTGTGAGCCAGGGTGAAGCTAAATAACAGGGCTCGGAGGAAGAATAAACTGAGAGAATTGCAGGCTGTGTGGCTGGGTGAAACCTCTGGGGGAAAAGGACGTTTAAGCTGAAAAGCAGGAGAGATCCTGTGGAGAGCAGATGTGAGGATGCATGGACAAGCATTTCAGAAAGTGGGAAGAGCACGTGATGGTGCTCTGGGGGGATGAGAATGGAGGCACTGACTTTAACTTGGGGTGGTCGGCAGAGCTGGAATTGCTAACTGGGTTATTCTTCCAGTAGCTGACTAGTTATTTTAAATAGAGTCAGAGCTTCGGGTGAAAATTCGATCCCAGAAGCACCAGACATCAGCCGAACCTCGACACGAGGGGTGGGGGACTCGACACAGACACTGCACTCTGGTAAGTATGGGTGCTGCTCCCATGCTGGGGGTCAGGAGCAGATCTGCAGGCTGCGTGGCTGGCAGGACATATCCGTCCCTCACAGCGCTCCCGTCCCCAGCCCCGCCTATTTCTGTAAAAACAAAGGTCACAGTAACAAAATACCAGAATCTATAAATACTAACCTATTCTTTTCTTGAGCCAACAGCAGACCAATAGGGCAATAATGGTGGGACCAAGGGTGCCAAGCAGCCCTTCAAGGATTCCTGAGGCGAGAAGTTCCTTCCTGTCCTCCGTAGGCACTGAGGGGAGAGGTCTGCACGTGAGCCACCCTGCAGGAGGGCTGGCCTTTGGAGAGCAGACGTCTCAGGTGTGGGCCGAGGCCAAGGTCTGCTCTTCCTGGGCGAGGGGGGCGGAGGTTGCGGGACTGACTTATGTGACTTGGAGCTCATCACCCTGGTGGCAGGAGAGAGGCACCAGCCTTCATGTCCTCTGTGCCCCTCAGACACACCTCCTAGACAGCCCCATGTTCAGACGCTCCATCGTGGAAGCACAGCCCCAGAGATACTGTGGGGTCAGTAAAACTCTCCCAGGATGCTGGAAAGGGACTTCGACCAAGACAATTCAATAGCCTGAGCTGTACCTGTGACGCTGAGTGGCACCGCCTCACTGCGCTGGGGCCCCAGGCCGTTGTTGGCTTCACAGGAGTAGTTTCCAGAACGTTCTGGGGTCAGAGAGAGGTTGAAGGACGCTCCTCCTCCAGAGGGGGCCGAGCTGCTCCCCAGGGTGACATCCTCGTGATAAAACCGGTACTGGATCGGGGGAGAGCCGCTCTGGGCCTCGCAGCGAAGCTCCACCACGTCCCCCACCACGGCCCGGGTCCCGGGCACCCTGACAGTGAGGACGGGGTGGGATGCTGGGACTGAGGGAGACAGGGAGTCATCAGAGAGTGTACCGTACCGTCACAGACTCGTAATCCCTGCCCACAGAGGCTCAGCCCCATTGAACTTCCCGGGGTTGCCCCAGGGAACACGGAGCCCAGCGAGTGGGGGTGCTGGTGGGACAGAGGTCACGGAACTTACTTCTGACGGTGACGCTCACCAGCTCGCTGATGCTGGGGCCATAGCCGTTGTCGGCCGCGCAGTAGTATTTCTCTGTGTCACTGTCCGTCACCGCCGGGATCTCAAACTTCGCGGCCAATGAGCGCTGGGTCTTTGTTTCCAGGTTCAAACCCAGGGCCCCTTTGTACCAGGAGAAGGTGATGTCTCCTGTGCCCTGGGTGGCCAAACAGACGAGAACCAGCTTCTCTCCCTTCTGCACTTGTCCCCCTGGAGGCTGTGTCTCCAAGCTCACATTCCAGACGGGGACTCCTACACAAACACAAGGTGACACATGGGGCGTGACCATCCTGAAAGCAAAGGCCTTGGGTAAAGTCAATAATTCATGCAGTTTAGCGGTGGCGGGTGGTGGTGTTCTGAGGGCGGTTGCTGCTGACTGGGGTGGGCCTCGGCCAGGTGGGCGTGGTGGGGTGCG